TCCTACTCCTTACTCCAGCTTACTCCAGCTTACTCCATGTATTGTAGACCAGCCTGAAAAGATTCATTTTTTTTACTCCTACTCTCTTACTTCTTACGCCAGGCTTACTTCATCTATTACAGATGATCCTTTATGTGCCGCATCGCGGGGCGAACGTAACTTTCGGACGACGAAAGTTGCACGTGACGTGAATTTCCGTGCGCGTTTTTATCCCGTTATGTATTAAATTAAGGGAAAATATTCCGGCGCCTACGCGCCGCTTTAACGACGTGCTTTGCATTTTTTTTCCTTTCAGAAAAATTGAACAAGATCGGTAGGCACGATTTTGGAATGTTTAATATCAGACATTATGACAGTTAGGTCTGCGAAATATTGCGAGTCTCTCGGGTAAAATCTCTCGGACTTAACTCGAGGTCTCGTTGCATATTTATGAGGTATCTGTTACCTTCTTGAAGCCCGATCCGCGAACACGTATTAAGCGATCTCGAGTGATAATTTGACTTCCAGCGCGCGGGAAGAAAAGCCAGTTTCCGCCCGCGACATTTCAGACACTTGGCGCAGCGGTATCGCGTTGCGTACAAGCCTCCTCGAGCGAAGCTGCTGATAATCGTTGTCTTGTAATGCGCGTTAGAATTAATCGCGATGAGACGCAACGAGCGACTATAGCCCGCGCGCAGTCGAGGATTTCAGACTCATAATACGCTTAAGCCTCGCAAATCTACCTAGCGCGATACCGTGCTCCTTTTAAGCGACCCGCTTGCAGTTGGATCGCTTCCACGCAGCGATACCGTCGTCGTTTAACAATCGCATAAAGTTTCGATTGCCCTAGCGCATTGTATCGCCAGCGACAAATATCGCGTGTACACGGAATTCCGCCGCTGCGACGAAAAGCACTTGCCGGGTCGCTTGAGAGAGTTATATAAATAAGCAACGTGCTCTTTGCACTCGGTCTTTATTACGACTTCTCTTCCGATCTGTAACTCCGCGCGAAACGCGAAAACCCATCGCCTTTGTTGCGCGTCGCACGTCCCAGAAATTGGAAGAGAAGATACGGTGGATATTATTTCTGTCACGTTAGCGCACTTAGACTTATTTTTTATCTCTCTCTCTCCCCCCCCCCCTCACGCTGGCTGTAGGGTGATGTATTTTCGTGTCGCTTAAAGTGCGATTGGTATAAATCACCGCAGGCATTCGTTCCAGTCCCGTAACTTCTCATCATTTATGACGACCTTCGATTGAAAATCTAATGCCTCGTCCCGCCCCGGCTCTTCCGCACGTGGTCGCACCTTGAAATTGCCGATAATATATTTCGCGTTAGTAAAAAGCATAAAAGTTCGCATTTACGACCTTCGATTTCTGAAGCGTTTTCTTCACTTTCCGTTCCACGCGCGGTCGCATCTTTGAACCATCGTCTCCTCCCGTAAGTCGACGTGAAAAATGTTATCGAAATGTCTGTCGAAACAGCTGATAGAAGGATTTAAAGAGAACAGAAGCTATTGTATTTTCTATGTTATTCTTGAAGTCACTCTTAATCCTCCCAAATGATTTGGATAATAAGAGCTGATCTCTCGCTGGGTGTAGAGGCCAGACTTTTTATCATCATCTTTCAGACTGCCTTCTACTTTTGTTAGAAAATTTCAATATATATATATATTTCGATATTTTTCTGTTAGAGAGGACTCGGAGGGCGTGCAAGCTTCCAGGCTTGACGTCCTTTTTGCGTCTTTATTAAATAAATAAATAAACTTGTCTAATAATTTTTTAATACGTAAGCAATCAGTAGATTTCTTTAACGGCCGATTTCTTGCTGGGTGTAAAGGTCAGACTTTTTATCATCATCTTCCAGACTGCCTTCTACTTTTGTTAGAAAATTTCAATATATATATTTCGATATTTTTCTGTTAGAGAGGACTTGGAGGGAGTGCAAGCTTCTAGGCTTGACGTCTTTTTCGCGTCTTTATTAAATAAATAAATAAACTTGTCAAATAATTTTTTAATACGTTAGCAATTGGTAGATTTCTTTAACGGCCGATTTCTTGCTGGGTGCAGAGGTCAGACTTTTTATCATCATTTTTCAGTCTGCCTTCCACTTTCTGTTATAAAATTTCAAAATGTATTTTTCGATATTTTTCTGCCAGAGAAGACTTGGAGGGAGTACAAGCTATATTTCTAGGCTTGACGTCTTTGTTAAATAAATAAACTTTTGAAATAATTTTTTAATACGTAAACAATTAGTAGATTTCTTTAACGGATTGTCTCCGAAATTGATAACGGGTTACACGTGTGTCTGCTGTGGTTCTGCGACGATCTAATTATCTCACGAAATATTGATCGCTTCGAGTTACAACAACGAATGTGACGACCGTCTAGCAATAAGGCAGCTAAATAACAGCTTGAACAAAATTGCCGAACGTCTGCGCACAAGGACTGATATTTTTCCAAAAAATTTATCATTCCCGGTCGCGACGTCGCTTTTTACGAGATAATAAATTTCCACGACGCAAGGTGATCATAAAACTTTTCTTCGCCTCCCGCCACGGTTATTTTTCGTGCACTTTAACCCGAGCTTATTATCGTAACGCGCGGCAGAAGAGTATCGCATTACAATATACACCATTACAGTAACACCATTACTGTATTATCAGCTTACTACGTAATAATGTAACGCGTACCGGGAAAACAGCGCGTTGCAGAACACCGTGTTATATAATGTAAAAGATATCTCAACGTGAGACGGTGCTCGACTCCTCCGAGTTGACTTTTTAAACCTCAAGTAATTTACGCTCCAAGAATAAAGGTGAAATAAGTTGGCAAGTTGGAAATGCCCTCGCATCTGTCGCATATTTTAAAAAATTTCCGTTCGAGACGCGCGTATTGTGTCGCTGGACCCGCGGGAGTCGCGACGCCGAGGTAGCGTCGCCTCGACCTTCCTTTTTCTCGAGACCTTACGCGGAATCGGACGACGTTCCCTGCGCCAGAGATGGCCGGCTGCGCGCGTTAATTGCAATCAATTTTTCTCCGAGGGACGTCGCACGCTCGGCTGGCTGGCGTCATTAAATTATGTCGTCCGTGTACTGATACCGAAGCAACACGTGAAACGGTTCCACCGTCACCGTCGGCGCCTCCGCCGTGCGCTCCGCGGCCCGCCACCCCCGGTGGCGCGAGTCGAGCCACCCCGCGCCTCTTCCCCGGATCCAGCGGAATGTACTTAAACGACAGGAAGGAGCACGCGTCGATTGGTCGGGCGAACCCGGGTCGATGGTGAGAGGGGGCGCCGGGTCTTTCGCGAGGCTCGTAGTGCCGCTCTGACCACCGTCGCGGTTGGGCTCGCTCGCCGTCGTCGTCCCTCGACTCGGTAAGATCGCCGCGCGATCGCTCGCGAAGGAGATCCACACGCGCGCGCAACACCCCTGGGCCAAGGGCTCCTCGATCTCGCGGTCTCGCCACCCCCCGGACCGGGTCCCGGGTTGAAAATCCCGAGCGGGCCGAACGATCGCGCGGAACGATCGCGGGTGAGCGATCGCGGGGAGGCAGCGATGTGTAGTAAGGGTGCCCGCCGTGCGTAGGTAGGCAGCGGGGAGATATCGCGGGGTCGTTACACCGAGGGACCAGGCGAGGAGCGGCAGGCAGCGTGGTGAATAGTATACTTCCGCGCGGGTGGTGTGCCAGCGAGTGGCTCGCAGTCGGACCGTGAATGCGGCCGCGTTAACAAACAACCCCCCCGGAATCGACAATCGCAGGTAGGTGAGGCCCTCGGCGGCGCTCGCTCTCGCGCCGGTCGCGCGATCCTCCCGACCCCGATCCGGATTTTGCTCTTTGAATGTCCCGCGACATCGTCGGCGCGGGCACCGTGCACGGGGGCGTTCGAGACTTTATCGCCCGTGGGTCGACGTTACTTCCCTAATTGGACTCGGGAGCGAGCCCGGGATAACGGTAATGATGGACGACGGATGTTCATACGATACCTTAGGGCCGGGACCGCCCTTGAGATACGTGATCGTAACTCACGTACGCGGCCGCCCGTTATTGGATTTGTATCGCGAAACTGGCATAAGTGGAGATCGGTTATCCCGGGTTTACCCCGGAGCCAATTGGCTCGCGTTGGATCGTCGATTTTTTTAATGGGATATTATTGCGGCGATCCGAGTGAAAAGGCAATCCGCAGCCGTGTAGAAATTATTTCCCGCGGAATTATCTAGGAGCGAGCTTTCGTTTAAGAGCAAACCCGCGGGAACAAGCTCGTTGTATTTATTGGCGGCATAATGGGAGAACCGTGTAGATTGCTACGAGCCTCCCCCTAGGTCCAGGCTCTCTATTATTTATGCAGTAATTACTGGCCACTAGATGGAATTGTTTATATTGTTTCGCTCGCGAGCTTCGCCCGCTTAAACGAAGCACTTAAAATTTCACGGGAATTAAATGCGATGGATAGAATTTGCCAAGTGTTGGGGAAGCGAATTGCGTTTATTTAAATGTAAACTCGGTTGACGGAACAGTTTACCGCTTCTGAACTCTTACCGTAGCAATTGTTTAAACGCGTCTGGCATAGGAAGTTGCGTCGCGTTGTGTTGATACTCGCGGAATGCATTACAAGGATTCGTGCATACGTTGAAAAACGGATCGGTTATATAAAAAAAGCACACGTAAAAGTTCCTTAAAGCCTCGTGCTCGAGACTTCACTCTCTTATCTCCGGCGATTAAAGGGATTGATAAACTATCTAGCGGAGTATTTTTTTTCTTAATCGCGGAATTAATCCCCGTATTTATTCCGCGATTAAGAACGAGAATACCTTGCTGGGTAGCTTATCAGCTTACTGATTCTGCCAACGAATCTTCCCGAAAATACGACCACCCTCCGAGAACCTTTTCAACCGTCGTTTCATCAGCCACGGCCGAATACGGGGATTATCGACGAATCGATAAAATCTTGACGGTCGGTCTAATTGACAATTACAAGCCCCGCCAGGTTTATATAGCTGTGCATTCGCAGCGAATAATTGCTCCCGGTAATTTCGGCCTTCTGCCGCTGTATCCTGAATGAATCGCTTCGTGTACAGTAGTTAGAACAGGTTATTGGGGGGGAAGCACGGGGAAGCCCTTCGAACTTGTCTCGTCTTCCCGAGGGACACCTGATCGCGCGAAACGCAGGTTTCATCGGCGACCTGGAGTGTAAATTCAGGCCGGTGTTCATAGTCGATTCTTATTTCGAAATCATTCCAAGTGTTGTCTTAAGAGGCTAATACGGCTCTGTGATTGGTTACACGAACATTAAGAGTATACTTAAGATGATCTTAAATATAAGAACGGATTATGAATACCGGCCTCAGACGGCCGCGTAGTCAAGAAGTAATACTTATCCAAGCAATCTCAGAATTGCGCGAGAAGGCAGGCAAATGATGCGAGAAGCAAGTCAACAAGTATACGTATAACGTATTTATAAATAATCCTATTCAAGTGGAAGCCCTTTCCGCTTGATTTTAATGCAGCCGTATTTAACATAGCGCGCTTTTGTAATCGAATGGCGCAGCGCGAGCAGTGATAAAATATGTCCTTAAACCAAAGTAGAGGAGTACACTTAAAGTCACCAGGGGTGAATAAAAATTGAAACGAAGCTTTTTCCCGAGCCGAAATTTTGGCCCTATGTTGAACCTTTAATTCTATTATGTAGTAGGAGCCGAGACAGTAAAAGAAGTCAAACTGCAAGTATAATACAAAATTTACTCCTACTTAAAAACTGATAGCGTCGGAAATTTCTACTTTTGCCGATTTAGCATTAAAGTAGGTCCTTTTAAGTAGGAGCTAAAGTAAATTTTTGGAATTAAAGATTCAAGGGATGAGTAAAACAATATAGTGTCATCAAAGTAAGTTATTGTTGGCTTATGTGGGTGTAAATTATCCTTAAAAGTGTCAAAATAGTACCAAAATTTCGACTCGGGTTGTTGATCCAACTGGCAATATAATTAAGTAAACGTTACATTGGCACGACGTTCCGACCCGAGTATCAGGTTCTTGTCAAGTAAAAGAACTTGCGCATAGATGTTCGCGGAGCATAAATTATAGCAGATTCACAAATCATTGTCAAAGAAGGAAATCTTCATGTCCTTAAAACTATCACGAATTGTACACGGAATAAAAGTACAAATATTATTATATTTGAAGAATAATGGTTTCCGCGAGTCTGCTATTGGACGACTTGCATTTACACAGGATAAATTATTATTTTACCTGAGTTTTACAAAAAAAAAAGAGAAACGCTTTTTACCATCAAAACATTCGGTATTCTCCGCCGCATTTCATTGTCATGCAACAATTAAATCCTGTTTTCTGCGAATACTTTCGTTATTTCAACGTTATTTCAACTGGAAGATCGCTCATGAAATACTATTTGTTACAATGGAAACGATGGAAAATAGCGACGGTGAAATCCGCTACCCACTCTACGAGAAAATGGAGGTAATGACAGCAAGTATTTCTACGATACACGATCTTTCTACAACGCGATTTCGATCAATTACATTTGTAACGCGATTCGCTGGGAACGTGCTTTCAAACGGACCTTTGAATGAATGCTTTGAATTACCCCGTTTACTAACAATTACCGCGAATATACTCGGAGAGATTTTGCTTAACAGCCGGCACGAATGTCGATTGACGGGGGATTAAGTTTGATCGACACTACTAAACCGCGCTGTATCTGCGACGAAAGTAGAACGAGGGAGCGCAGACGTATTCTTCCATCGCATTGCGCGTATTATTCGCGAATCTAAATAAATAATATGAAACGTTAAGCAATCGAGTATGACATTGTCGAGTACTTAACGAGCATTAAATTCGCAAAAGCACGTCGTTTGCATTGTGAAATTAGCGAAATGCAATCCCGTTTGTATATCGTACGCAAACGCATGTCGGGTGGAGGAAGAGTCTTGGTTTTATTTAGATTTCATAAAGAGATCTGTATATACATATATTCTTTTACGTGCGGCACATGTGACGCTTTGTCGCAAAGTAAATAGCAATTTATGTGATTTGTAACCTTCGACCATGAATTCCCGTCTGCTGTCTATCCATCTTAACAATATTTCCTCCTGAATTGCTAATAGAAACATAAATAGAAACTGCAAATTCTTTGAGAAAGAGCGGCTGGCGGAGAGGAAGGAAAGGATGAGACGAGGGAACCTGAAGCGCGCCGTCCCCGAGATGACCGACCCTGCGGAAATATTTGCGACGATAGCCGGTATCCGAAGTATTTAATTAAGTCCGGAGGAAAGTCCCGTGGTTGCGCGTCCTTGCGCTTTGACGCCGGGGCGCGTATATCCCGTGGCAAAACAAATTCCCACGCAGGAGATTGAACGTCAAATAAGAGCCGTCTTTTCCTGAAAGGCTCTTCGGGCTTTATTTCGAGCGATAAGAGGAGCAACTCGTTATCGGCGAGGGCGGAGATTTTCCACCTTAATCGCCGAGGGACTCAAACGGGGGAGGATTAATCCCCATGAAAGGTTCGATTCCGCATTTATTGCCCCCCCGCGTAACTTCGGCGAGTTGCCCGGCACTTGGTGTCTCGCGTCGCCCACGGAGACGCGTCATCTCGCCCGGTGGTGAACTTGTACTTACGTAACGCCGTACAACAGTAGCGCGTTTCACGTAATTACACGGCACTAAATGTCCATCAAGCGCAGAGGGAGGCTGCGCATTGAACAAAGAATGGAAGTTAACGAGGCAACAGGGACAACGGCGCGAGAGTTGGAAGGCCGAATGAATTGTCTTTAATAGCTATTCTGTCGTTGCACCGTAGGAAACGCTCTGCGGAGCATTTCACGTCGGGCCGTTCTAAGGAAATGAGAGGAATTTAACAATTCCCACCTCTGTCGTCTCCCTTCCTCTCCGTCTCTCCGCGAGGGTGTTTTAATTATTTAACCAGCCTCGCCTGGAACGGGCATTTTTATGCACCTTATGACGTCGCCGCGGACTAATTGCTACTCAGCGGTAATTAATATTGGAACAGGCATAGTATCCAAATATGTAATATTGATCCCTATGTCATAATTGTAATTGATGGGAAGCTGGTTTTAAGTACTTAGTTAATTAGGGGGAGCGGAGAGCGATATTTATGGTTATGCATGAAATAACTAATAAATAAATGGGACGATTACATTAAATGTTACAATTATATTAAACGTTACATATTTAACTGTTAACAATAGTGCAGCTGCATATATTAGCAATTAGCTTATTATTTATTTAATGTAATTAATAAATTACAATCGCGAATGAGAGTTTTCTATTAATTTTAGAGATCGACGTTACGTATTCGTAATTATCGTGCGAGGCAGCGCTTGCCTCTCCGGGAACGGATTTCGTAATAATTTCGAAACCTTATTTCGCAGAAATTCGATATTACAATATTTTTCCATTCCAAAACAATCGTATAAATATCAAAACAATTTCGAGATGAGTTAATTACGGAAACACAGGCAGCCTGATTCGGATAAAATATAGGCTCGAGGCTGAGCAATACGATATTGTAATATTCAAACGTGACGCGAATTAATATATAGCTAAAAAGTATTTATTTGTTTCTCCCTCGTGTTCGCCGTGTCTTTTCGATGTAACGTCCCTGACCGTAGTCCCGCTGTGGCTGCTGCGTACCGGATGGACGTGCCTTCAAACACAGCTTTCCCCGACCGATAGCCGGATGGCATCTTTCTGCAATTTAATTTTTAACTAATCCGCGTAGAGTCGT